GCCCTGGCACACTGGGATGCGGCTCCAGAGGCTGGGAAAGGCAGGGAAGCTGTTCTCCCAGCGCTTCCGGAGCAAGTGCAGCCCGGGCCACACTTGGTTTCCACTAACAAATCCCATCGGACCTCTGGCCTCCGGAACAGGGAGAGAGGAAATGTGCCCTGTTCAAGCCACTAAGGGTGTGGGGATGCGTTGCGGGAGCAACAGGAAACTAACACACTTGCCCAGGCAGACGACCTGCAGTAAACACCAGCCCCCAAATCCTGACGGAAAGAGCAGGAGGAGTGGGCTGAGCGGGTCCAGACCAGGACTCAGCTCGAGTCTTCTCAGTTGCGCCCGCCCTCCCCTGCCACCTCTGCCCATGTCACTGAGTGGGGTTTTCCCTGTCCTGGGCCACTGTCATGGCTCTATCGCCCCCACTCCTCCCATGGTGGCCACTCTCAACCCTCTTGGGACCCCTGTGCCATTAGCCTGCTTGTGGCTATGACCACTGTGAGGTCCACCTGCACAGGAAGAGGAGGAGGCTGGTGACAGGTGCACAGCGCTGCGGCCTCCAGGTCCCTGTGGCAGACACTGCGGGGCTGAGCGAGCTGCTGCGGACCAGCTCCATTTACACTGGAACCGAAGCCAAGCCAAGGACTCCTGGGTCCATGTAAATGCTCCCGTCCCAAATCTGCAAAGGCCCCAGGACAAGGAGGGCCCTGGGGGTTAGGACCACTGGGAGGCTGCAGCTCTTTGCCTTTATAAAGATGAGTTTCACCTTTACTGGATTCAATGGGGGAGGCTCTAAATGGCTCTGGGGACGTATCTCAAAATGATCTGCACCCCAAGGGATTGTCCTTCTCTATCTGCCCCAACCCCTGCACACACCATAGAGAGGACAGATGTGCCTGACGTGTGAGCATGGGAATCTGATGGCGAGGGCTTCGTGTTCCACCCAGAACAGGATGCACAGGAAAGCCATAGGGGTGACGGAGGGTGGCAGTGGGGAGAAAGGTGGTTCCGGGTACATCTGCTGCCCGTACTCAGGGCCTCCCTCTGGGATGAACCTCCTGCCCTGCACAGCTTCAGGCCTGCCTCAGGGCCCAGCACACAGCAGCCAGGATGACCAGTCCCACTAGAGATGGGACATGGACACATACTGTTCTCCTCCAGAATAAAGCCTCCCCCACAATTACTTCTCTCTTCTACTCTGCACGTATTTTATGGTACAAGTTAGAGGCCATGACATCTTTATGCACCATCTGGGCCTAGGTATGAAAACTCCCAAATTGTATGGGATGGCAGAGACCCCACACAGGAATGAACAAGGTCACCTTAGGTCTGCCTGTCCTTACCCTGCATGCCTCAGGCTGTAAGTGAATCACCCTCAGCATCTGAGGCTGGAGGGCTGGAAAGAGCTCTGAGACGTGCGTGGGCGAGTCGCTTTGCCTTGACCTCCCCACCCGGGAGAGGGGCCGACCATGCCCACAGTCCACGGTGGGGGCTGCAGCCAGACACTGCCCACGGATTCCGCGGCCTCCTGGCCCTGCTGAGCGCCTCTGCTACTCAAGCCCCCTCTTCCCAGGCTGCCTGGACTCCCGCCGATCCCCTGCAGAGCCTGCTGGTGGCTAGGAAAGCCCTCCAGTCCCTACAGCGGTCCATGCAGAGTGAAACCTTCAGGATTGCCTGGAGCTGTCATTCATACATAAAGCCTGACCTGGGCCATGACAGTGACAAAGACCCTGGATGCTGCTCTGGCTCACTGAGACTCCATCTTACTGACGCTGGCTGTCCACCCCTCCACACCCTGCACTGCTGCTGCCCTCCTGCCCTGTCCTGCTGGGCCCTGTCAGGGACCTTGCTCACGTTCCCCTCTGTGCCCTCAGCCCTTGTCCTGAGCCACCTGTGTCTCCAGGAGCCTTTTCCTCCAAGCCAGGGGCAGGGCTGTCGGGGGTTCTGAAGGTGAGCAGGGCTGCCTTCCAGGGTTTGGGGGTAACCATCATGAGGTCACGAGTGTAGACCTGCAGGGGGGTGGCCAGGGCAAAGGGCGGGAGCCAGGCCCAGGTTCAAGACCAGCTCTCAGACTCCCTGGCTCTATGACCTGGAACATGTCGCTCAGCCTCTCTGTGCTTCAGTCCCCCTGGGCACGCTGGGTTAATAGCAGCACCCACTCCTACAGGTCCTGGGAGGGTGGGCACAGAGAAAACTCGCAGCCTTCTTAGGCTAGCAACTGGCCCACAGGAGATGCAATAAATATCATCTGTCATTATTACTAAATTCCAAGGACGACAAGCCTAACAATTAGTTCTCTGCCCACGGTCACAGGTGATGACACAGGAGGGAAACCTAGCACCTGGTAGCACTGGCAACTGTTGGCCAGAGAGCACTGTCACCCGCACCCAGCATCACTCCTGGCACCAGGTGGGCAGCCATGGAATGCCAGGCGCCATGTCTGGAAACTGCCTGGGAGGCTCGGGAGCAGCCACTCCCTGTCTTGGGCACCCCCCGTAGGCAGATGCCTGGACATGGTTCCCCGAGCCCCAATCCCAGGGGCAACTGCCAAGGGCAAAAGCAGTGGCCATTGTGACCATCAGGGGTATCCCTGTGACCCACTCACCTGGGCCCCGGACTGACACCACGTCAGTGGCCCCTGGTAGCAGCTGGGGTGAAGGAAGTTGCACGAGCAATCCGGACTGCCCTGAAAGCAGACATGGCCCCGAGGAAGCTCGATGGCAGGGATGTGGCCCCCAGAAGGTGCAGCCCGCAGCTCCCGACAGCCTTGCCCGGGAGCACAGAGCTCCAGCCGCCCCCCAGGGAGGTGCCTGCCGGCCTTTAGTGACTGGGGAGGGGTCCCTTTTGGCCCTAGAGAGGTTTGGAATCTGGAACCGAGCAGGACTTTTGGCGAAGGAGAAGCCAGGGGCTGGTCGTAGAGGAAAAGATCAAAGGTTGGGGGGCTGTGTGGTGGCCAAGCAGAGGCCCTGAAAGGAAGAGGTGGTGGGCATGGGGGCCTGGGCAGCAGCTGGAGACAGGAAGGAGGCTGCATTTAGGGGCAACCAGGAGAAGGCAGGGAAGAGGACCCGGCCCTGCTCAGGGGACAGGTGCCCGAGATGCGGGCNTGTTGGCCAGAGAGCACTGTCACCCGCACCCAGCATCACTCCTGGCACCAGGTGGGCAGCCATGGAATGCCAGACGCCATGTCTGGAAACTGCCTGGGAGGCTCGGGAGCAGCCACTCCCTGTCTTGGGCACCCCCCTAGGTAGATGCCTGGACATGGTTCCCCGAGCCCCAATCCCAGGTGCAACTGCCAAGGGCAAAAGCAGTGGCCATTGTGACCATCAGGGGTGTCCCTGTGACCCACTCACCTGAGCCCCGGGCTGACACCACGTCAGTGGCCCCTGGTAGCAGCTGGGGTGAAGGAAGTTGCACGAGCAATCCGGACTGCCCTGAAAGCAGACATGGCCCCGAGGAAGCTCGATGGCAGGGATGTGGCCCCCAGAAGGTGCAGCCCGCAGCTCCCGACAGCCTTGCCCGGGAGCACAGAGCTCCAGCCGCCCCCCAGGGAGGTGCCTGCCGGCCTTTAGTGACTGGGGAGGGGTCCCTTTTGGCCCTAGAGAGGTTTGGAATCTGGAACCGAGCAGGACTTTTGGCGAAGGAGGAGAAGCCAGGGGCTGGTCGTAGAGGAAAAGATCGAAGGTTGGGGGGCTGTGTGGTGGCCAAGCAGAGGCCCTGAAAGGAAGAGGTGGTGGGCATGGGGGCCTGGGCAGCAGCTGGAGACAGGAAGGAGGCTGCATTTAGGGGCAACCAGGAGAAGGCAGGGAAGAGGACCCGGCCCTGCTCAGGGGACAGGTGCCCGAGATGCGGGCGGAGGGAAGAGGAAGGCACGGAACAGGTCCGGGTGCCACCTCCCACTGGACGGTGGGTACTGGCTTCTCTGTGGCACTCGCTGTCAGGGGATGGGCAGGGCTGGCTTCCCCTGCTGTCCTCTAAGGCTGCAGAAAAGGCGGAGGTCCCAGAAGAAAGCCTGGATCCCAACAAGGACAGAGCCGGGACCAGGCCTGCTGGGGTTGGGGGCAGGGGCCCCATACTTGTGGCCCTCCAGTTCTCCAGCCCCACGAGATCAAAGTCCAGTGTCACACAGCCATGTCTTCTTCCCGCAGCCCCAGCCTGGGGGTCACCGCCATCCCCACAAGGCCCTTCTCACCTCCATCCCTCTCGTCCCGCAGGGTCCCCCTCTGCACGCACGAGCAGGACAGACCATGGCCTTTGGGGTGTCAATGGGGTGCCCTGTGCCTGTGGTGCTGTGGCCAGCAGCTTCCACCTCCTGGATCCTTGGGTGCCAATCTTTCCCAACAGGAAGCCCTGTCCCTCCCTCGTAGGGTCCTGGAGATCAGCCAGGCTAAGGGGTCTGGTCCCTGGAGAACCCCAACACCTGCAAGTGTCTCCATCAGCCCACACTCCCATGGAGACCAGAGCACACTCCCCAGCTCCCTTCCTCTGGTGGCCCCTCTGTCCCCAGGTTTCCCCCGCCTCCCAGGCTCAGGGGTGAGGCCCCGGCTTTCCGTTCTGGCTGCGCCGAGTGTAGAGCTCGTGCCTGCACCCCTGCGAGCCCCGTTCTCCTCCTTCAGCCCATGCTCTGGGAAATGTCCTGCCTCCCCAGCTCCCAGCCCCTCTGCCTCCCTTCCCAGGTGCCCGTCTCTGCCCGTGTGGTGCTGCCACGCCCCACAGTGGCCGTCAATTCACCCTCAGGCTGCAAAGCCCGACACAGGACAGCGATCCTCCACGGTCGATGGCAGTGGCTTCACTGCGCACCGCCCATTCCCAGCAGGCCCGTGTGTGCCAGCACTTAGTCATGGCAGCTGACAGGGTGGCGCAGTTTCCAGACTGTGCAGAGGTCCCTGCTGGCTTCTAAAGGTGCAGCGTCCCACAGGCCACTCCTCCTCCCTGACCAGCATCATCCTCCGCTGGGACCATCAGCACTTCATGTGGGACCCCGTCTCCCTCCCTCACCACAGAGGCGCCTCCTGGGCCCTCATCTGCCTGAGGCCACCAGAATTCCTGCTGCTGTGGGTGGCCCTGTCTCAGGGAACCTGGCGTCCCTTCTCTCTGGGGGCAGAGCAGGCCTCAGCCCAGTGTCCAGAGCCTGCCAGGCCAGCTGTGCATGGCTGTCCTGGGGCAGGAGGCCACATGGAGCCCAGGCTGTCCCTAGGGCGGGGGAAGGTGAGGACAGTGTGTGTCCCTCACTGGCTCATATGATGACTTTGGAGTGAATGGGAAACTGCCCACAGGCAGAATCATGGGATGTCACCTGCCCAAGTCCTTCGGAGGGTGGCATGTCCCTGGGCCCAGGGCTGGGCAGGCAGTGGTACTCACCCTCCTACAGCAGAGCCAGAGGAGAGGACACAGCAGTAGCAGGAGCAGCAGCAGGGCCAGCCCAATGGTGACGAGGACCAGCGGGCTGCTGTGCACTTGCTCCGAGATAATGAGTTTTCGGGGCATGAGTTTTCTGGGCATGACAGTTTCCGTTGTTTTAAAAAGTTCTGTTGTTTTAACGGGTTCTGTTGTTTCAGCAGTTTCCATTGTTTCAACAGGTTCCGTTGTTTCAACAGGTTCCATTGTTTCAACAGGTTCCATTGTTTCAACAGGTTCTGTTGTTTTAACAGGTTCCATTGTTTTAACAGCTTCCCTTGTTTCAACAGGTTCCGTTGTTTCAACAGGTTCCGTTGTTTCAACAGGTTCCATTGTTTTAACAGGTTTCATTGTTTCAACAGGTTCTATTGTTTCAACAGCTTTCATTGTTTCAACAGGTTCCATTATTTCAACAGGTTCCATTGTTTCAACAGGTTCCATTGTTTCAACAGGTTCCATTGTTTCAACGGGTTCTTTTGGCTCTGGTGTAGTAGTGGGGCATGGGGTGGTAGTTGTCACCTTTAGGAGAAACAGGTCACCTTGCATCCAGGCAGGACAGACACTGCCAATAGCAGAAGCCTGGGAGGGCCTGGGTGGCCTCTTCCCAGGTGCCCACCACTTGGCATCCCACCATCCCACTCCCCCTTGTCCCCAGGTTGCCACACTCTAGGGACCACAGTAGGACTAGAAGCTGGGGCTGGTCTCAGAGAGCTACAGACCCCACCTCTGGCCTTGGTCAAAGGCTCTGCCCCGAAGCCCTGACCAAGGAGGACTGAAGGCCCCGAGGTCTGACGAACCCGCCCTCTCTGCACGCCTCGGATGACAGTGCAGGGCTTTTGTGAGGACACAGCTGCTGCAGGCACACAGATGGTGGGAGCCGGGCTGCTGGGGCCCACTGAGGTGAGGACCAGGGGCAGGGCTGAGACCCGCTCCATCTCCCAGTAGCCCGTCCCCCCCACTGCCTGGCTCTGCAGCCTGGGCCACACCTGCTCATCCCTCGGAGCCTCAGTTTCCACATCTGTACAAAGGAAACGAGACTCCCTCCCTTTTGGGCACTTGTGAGGTTTAAGAGTTCAGAGAAAGTCCCAGCACAGGGCCAAGTCCCTGTGGGCTTAGGGAATGGGACCTCTTCTCCTGCTTGTTATTCATGATGAAGGGCCCGTGTGCTGCATCTGAGGGGAGCAGGCCGCCCAGTCCTTTCCTAAATCCAGGTGCTGCTTAGAGAGAAGGCTGCAGAGGGACAGGGAACAGGCCGGCTGAAAGGAGAGGTGACAGCTGGGCTGCTTGTGAGGGTGACTGGCTGGGCTGCAGACTCAGGGCTGCTCCCGAGTTCTTTTCTAAATGTGCCTGTCCCTGGGTGGGCTGTCACTGGGTGGAATTCCTGATGGGCACACGTGTGAGTTCTGTCTGCTGATCCGTGCGTGGATGTGAAGGCAGAGCCAGATGGAGGACTGTCAGCACGGCTGGGTCCCCACAGCTGACACTGGACACAAGGGTGGTCACAAGTAGGCTCAGACATCCCTCCTGCCAGGCACATGCCCCTACTGTGCTGCATGGGCTGAGGTGCCTGGGTGACATGGAGCTATGAAGAGCAGGCACTGGGGGAGCAGCACCTTCATTCTCAGGGTGCCTGTCCCTGAGCTGAGTCCCAGCTCACACCCCTAACAGTGTCCCCATCAGCAGCAGGAGAGAAATGCACTGCAGGGATCAGAGAGAGTGTGAGAGAGGGCCAGTTGAGGACCCTGAGAGAGGAGGCAGAAAAGAGGCTGAGAGATGTGTGCAAAGTGTCAGCAGGTGTTCGCCCAGCAGGCTCGGGGGCTGGAGGGCATGAGTGTATTTAGGGCCAGAGCCGCAGCTAGAGCACAGTTTCAGCAAAAACCACATGCTCACCTGGCAGGGTGAATCCTCGATCCCCTGTGTCTGGGACACCATGTGGAGGGGCCTGGTGCCCTAGAGTCCTGCACTCTGGCTCCTAGCAGGCAGCCCCCAGCCTTACCCACTCACCCCAGCTGGAATCCAGTTGTGTCTGCCTGAGGTGACTGTACAGGCCTTCTGGGTCTACCTGGGAGCCAGTAGTCCTTTCTGTCCCCCCCACCCCGGGGTGTATGTCCTCCTGGTGCAGGGCTCTGGACAGCCCCTGTGGTTGGCTACAGCCCCTCCGTGGTACTCACGCAGTTGACCTTGGTGATGGTGAGGTTGCTGCCAAGGAAAGTGATGCCATTGTTCAGGGTGACTTGAACAAACATCAGCCTAATGCACAGAAAGCGCAGAGGGTGAGAAGCAACCTGGAGAGACCGAGCCCTGGCCCTTGGCTCAAACCTCAGCCTCTGAAAATCAGGCACTGAGGCTCCGGAGCGTGGACAGCATGGTAAGGACACTTTGTTCCCCAGTGCATTGCAAGGTTGGCCTCAGCAGTGGTGGCCAAGGGGGATGCAGGTCATGCAGTGTGGGCTCTGCTTGGAGTCTGATACCATCGGGGCCTTGGGCTAAGTGACCAGGGGGTGCTGCTTGGTGTCACCATCTTGACTCTTCTGTATCTACAGGGTATATTAGCTGAGCTCCAAAAGGTGACCCGGAGCAAAGGCACCATTCCTCTCCTGATGCTGCCCTACCCATCAGAGCCTGGGCCAGGACAGATCCCTGAACACCTGGGGGCCTCCATCAAGGACAGATATGGAATGTCCCTTTAGCCCCCTCACAGAGCTGCATTAGCACAGGGGCATCCCACATTCTGTACACAAATGGTCATAAACACTGACCACCTGGTCTCCTGCTCACTAGGGCCTCAACCAGGGCCACTTACTGTCTGGGTTGTTCTATCACTGGTCCAGGACAAATTATTTTAGTTTCTTCCACCACAGTTGGATTTACATCTGAAAGAAAATAACATAAGAAAAATGTCAATGGATATTTCCTTCCCTACATTCCTCTTACCCTCTGACTGCCCTTGGCAAGCAGAACTAACACTTTGGCCAATGACAAGTTTGTTCTCTCTGCCTTCTTCTACTCCAGGACATGTGCTGAGGATTTGAAGATACTGCACTGGTGTTTAATGGAAAGATGGGAGGTAGACTCCCTGCTTTTATGGGACTTCATTTTAGGCATTAAAGAGGGAGGCAAATAACAAAATAAAAAATAAAAAGGCAAGAAAACGAAGTAAAGGATATCCAAATTGGAAAGAAGAAAGTCAAATTGCTCCTATTTGCAGATATTATGATTTTATTTAGAAAAACCTAAAGACTCCACCAAAAAACTCCTGGAACTGATAAATAAATTCAGTAAAGCTACAGCATACAAAATCAACATACAAAAAATCAGTAGCATTTCTATACACAACAACAAACTAGGTGAAAAAGAAATCAAGTAAGTAGTCTCATACATGAGAGCAACAAAAAAATAAAATGCCTAGGAATAAATTTAACCTAGGAGGTGAAAGAGCTCTACACGAAAAACTATAAAACACTAAAGAAAGAAATTGAAGACACAAAAAACCAAAGATATCCCATGTTTATGGATTGAAAGAATCAATATTTTTGAAATGACCACAGTACCCAAAGCAATCTACAGATTCAATGTAATCCTGCTCAAAATATCAATGACATTCTTCACAGAAAAAAAAAAATCCTAAAATTCATATGGAACCACAAAAGACCCCAAATAGCCAAAACAAAAAAGTCTGAATAGCTTCAGCAAAAAGAACAAAGCTGGAGGCATCACAATACCAGACTTCAAAATACACTACAAAGTCATACTGATCAAAACAGAATGGTACTGCTACAAAAATAGACACATACTTCCAAAAGCAGTACCACAATTTCATATAAAGGACAGCTGGCTGCACTTTTCTTCTGGGACATTTTTCTTCATGAAATATATAGATTGTTGATGCTATAGCAGCTAATGGGATATTTCTCAATTCTGCAGTTAAGACCAAGCCCCAGTATATGCTTTGTGGTGGGCTCTGCTGACGCATCAGCAGTAATCTTTAAAGAACAAAACAAAACAGAAAAAACGCCATATGATTACAAAAGCAATCTATGTTCATTGCAGAGAACTTCAACTAGAGAAAACACGCAAAAAAAGCAAAATGACCTATAATCCTAGCACCTAGAAAAAAATAGCCCTTTAGTGCACAGTCTCCCAAAGTATTCTTTTGTTTTTTAATTCTCATATTATTTGTGAAATGAGATAGCTAAAAAAATAATCTGGTTGAGATGATATTTAGAATAATGATGTTCCCAGATTTTTAGTTCAATTCCTGGTGCTTTAATTTTTCATGTGAGCCTTCCTTAAACGCTGTTGTTATTTCACTGCTAGATTGCTTGTATTTCGAGTTGTACTGTACATTGGAATTGGCCATTATATTTTATTGTTTGCTCTTTTTCTATATCTGAATTTATGCTAATTGGAAAAAGAAGTTTTCAATACATATTGTCATTGGTTTAAAAAAAAAATAGACACATGGACCATGGAATAGAATAGAAAACCCAAATGTAAATCTGCAATCTATAGCCAACAAATTTTTGATAAGGGTGCCAAGAACATACATTTGAGAAGGGACAATCTTTTCAATAAATATTCCTGGGAAAGCTGGATATCCATATGCAGAAAATCAGACTGGACCCCTATCTCTCACCATATACAAAAAATCAACTCAAGATGGCTTAAAGACGGAAATGTAAGACGTGAAACTATGAAACTAGTGGAAGAAAACGTAGTGGAAATGCTTCACGACGTTGGTCTGGGCAAATACTTTATGAGCAAGGCCTCAAAAGCACAGACGACACAAGCAAAAATAGACAAATGGGCTTACATCAAACTAATAAGTTTCTGCACAGCAAAGGAAATATTCAACAGAGCAATGAGGATGACCTACAGATTGGAGAATATATTTGCAAACTATTCATCCAAGGGATTAATATCAAGAATACTTCAAAAAGAATACTTCATAAAGTATCAAGTTACTTCAAAAGTTCATGGAAAGATTCATATTATCTTTTAATTCTATTTTTTCACGAATATTTTGAACACCCTCATATACAAGGAGCTCAGACAACTCAACAACAACAAAAAACAAATAATCAGATTAAAAACTGGGCAAATGA